GGGCGGGGGCACGGCGGCACTTGCCTCGTCTGTGCGGCTATGGGAGGTTTGTCAGGCAGGGCTCCGGCTCGTGCCTGTGGTTATTTTGGGAACAATAACAGCAGCCGTGATACGGTGTAATTGTGACACTAATCGCTGCACTCTCTGGGGGGAAAAGAAATATGTGGCTGTCATCGAGCAGCTCGGGGAGGTGGTGAAACCAGCTGGCGTCACCCCCGGCAGTGGCCCTGCAGGGTACCCCAAAGCCACCAGCAACCCCTCGCCAGCCCGCGCAGAGCTGCGCCCCAGCCTGGGGGGTGCCAGCCCCAGTCGCCGGGGTGACATTTAGTGACCACCCCCTCCTCCGCAACAGGACGCGGGGGCATGAATGCAGCTGGGCTGCGGCCCCCGCAGGGCGAAGCCTGGCTGGAGCGAGGGGCGACCGGGATCCCATCCCAGGATGATGGGATCCTCTCCCTGGCTGCCTGGCACCCCACGCCTGCACCGTGCTGTGGGTCAGGGGACATGGCCCCATCCCCAGGGATGAGAGGTGCTATTGCACCGTACCTGTCACGTTGAACCCACGCCAGGCACCGCAGTGCCATGCACCGGAGGACGCCCCTGCCCTGTGCGGGAGCCGGAGCATCGGCCCGTGCCACAGGGGCAGCCCCGGCTCCACGGCCGCTGCTCTCCCCCAGCGCCAGGCTGTTCTCGCTGCTCTGTGGCAGTGTTCCTGGCTTGCTGTCTCCCAAGGACGCCGTTCAATGGGAGGAAGGCCCTTCGGAGGGTCCGAGGCGTGGGAAATGTTTACTGCCTGGCCTCGGAGACGCTGGAGAGCACTACGGGAAAGGCGCAGAGCCAAAGCTGCCCAGGCTGCTCCGCAGAGCCAGAGCTCCAGCTCAAAGGGTCAGAGCAGAGGGGGAGAGGAAAAGCCACCGCTTGCAAACACGCAGCTAGGAAAACTCTGCCTTTCGCAGCCTGAGACACTGCAGCCGTGGCTGTGCCGGCCCAGGGGGCTGGGGGGG